AAAAACACATTTCGCAATCACAAGTCAGAGATTATAGGGGTTCCAAGTGGCTTACTGATATACCAGTAAAGGAAAAGTTGACAAACCCGTCACAGACGTCCTAAATGAGGCGTAGAGACGGAGCAGTTTATCGACAGCACGGTGCAAGTAATCAAATTATATCGTGCAAAAATAAGCGTTTTATCTCTATGGTAGCAATCCGATTGGTCTAACAGTGAATGGATGAGGGTCAGGCATCAAAGTGAGAGCTAATTGTGAGTAAGGCACTGAAAAAAAAACTAGGCTACACCTACTGCGAAACGCTAAGGATTCATTTCCTCGAAGTGGTAGGGCAGAGCCCAAAAGTCCAGATTGTTCATATACCTTTCATGGGCTGAGATTCTGCCTATATCATAAAGTCCAGGTAGACCATGAAGACACGGCCCAATAAGCAGGAGCTGCACATGCATCCATTTCCTCTGTGGCTACTTTACTCAAATAAACCCTGCTCCGAACCTCGAGTCATAGACCACTTGGACAGTCCAGAGAGATACTTAAATAGTGCTGGGGTTCGTGATGGGTAGCAGTTGTGCGGTGCATTCAAATCGATAGTACCGCACCAAACGCATGCTCTATTGGCGACATCTCCTGTCCCAACAGATATACCGTGACCGAACGAACGTTTGAGGAACAACATTGGAATGTTTCTTTCTATTTGGTATAAGCTTTATTCGAACCATCCATTACAATTTGTAACGCCCATCCCATACCCAAGTGCTCCTTCCCCTATCAGAAGGGTTTTCTTTGATAAGCAACGAAAAGTACATTTAAGTCGCTTAGGGCATCATCAAATTGCCATTAAAGAACGTTGAAAATGTTAGCATTTCCATTATCTGAGCAGCTGAGAAGGCTAGGAATGTTCGAACGTCATAATCAAAACAGATAGCTCTGATCAAAGGAAAAACTCACTTTCCCTGGTTATCAGCTACTGGTCTTCAATTGCCCATCATATCGATCCTTCACCAAAACCATCAGGGAAACAGAATGTTCGAGCAGTTAGAAGAAGAAACTGATAGAATGAAACAGCCTAGACGGGAGATTTTGGGCCACACATATTCCCCGCCTTTGTGGCACCCGTCCCTTTGCAATCCAACTTTAATCGATGACCTTTTCATAGGTTTGATCTTCGATAATTTTTTAATGAAAGGCTGCGGAGGGCGATGTGACAAAATTGATTAACTTTGAACAGCCCTGGTTTCTCTTTTACTAAGTGCGTGATGGTGAACCTATCCCTGCTCCAGTTTACAGTGGTCGTCACCAGGAAGAAAATCTCCATATCTCATGATCTTCCTTGGCTCCTCGGACCTTTGGTGATAAGTTACTCATGAAGAGTACTCCTCATTCTTACGGGACGTACATGTAAGAAGTTTTCAAGCAATGGTACGGAACGCGTTGTGTGCACCGGGTCCATAGCACCCACATGGCAACTCTAGCGCTTTTGCAGGGACGAGCTGTGATGTTGCTGGTCCTGCGGCAACTCGTGACTACTGGGACTCTGGCAAGCAAAGAGAGATACGTAGTAGGATCAATAAGACTGCTTACATACACGAGGCCAGCTTTTTTTAATTGGGGGGGAAAAAAAACATTTATTTGACACATCGCGATCGATCAACGGAGAGTTTCAGGCTGTGAAATCCCCTGCGACGATTTCTGACTCGATTCCACAATGGTCCACTCCACGTATCATGCGGAAATAACCTTAAGAAAATGTTCTAAGAAAGCCGAAACACTAATCTTCACTTCAAATCAATAATTTGTGATTGAATTACAAACTATGACTAGCGTAAGGCGACATGTTTGCGGTCTGAAGCTCCCTTAATTAGGTTTCAACGCTTTGATAAAGCCTCATACCAGCTCCTACGTCAGTTTACCAATGCGCCTCTTTTCGGCAAATTATCATCTGGCACAGTGTGAACAAGTTTTTCCTCGGGGGACTGTGTGGTCTGGTCGATTATCAGGCTGATTACAGTGGTTTCAAAGAACTGGCATTTACGATGAAGGTTGACAAGACTTATGTAAGTCTGGAGTACTTTGAGATTAGTTCTGGTTACCCTCAGGTTGTAGCACCTGGATATGGACTGCTCCGCAACGCGTCATTGTTCTATCCAGTTGGTGTACCTCTAAGCATTAGAGCAGCATTGCAACTCGGGACGCCATCACTGTTCTATGATCACAACTATTTGACCGCGCCTAGCGTGGGGGGGGGGGAGAGGTAGTGGCGATCTCGGCACTGTTTTCGTATGTCGGCCCGACCGCAGACGGGCAAGACAATCGTGGTTTGTCGCTTCGCTGAGCGCGGCGCATCCGTGCAGCGACAGCAATCGCAGTATGTCGATTGGAGCGGAGAAACTCATTTGCCACATGATAATATGATATGGACATTTTCCGTCCCAAATTCGTTTCGTCCCTTTGGGCGTCCGCTCGCCATGCTTCAAAACGCCAGCAAATATTAGCGATTGTCTAGTTCTTATTCCCCTGCGCATCGCAACGAAACCCCTCGCTAACAAAGTCTGCCAAGACTTGCCTGAAGCCTTAAGGACGACTGATAAAAATGTGGCAGAATTCGTCCCTAAGGGATAATCACAAGTGTGTGAAAAATACATTTCCCAGACCAGTTAATTGAAGTCCTCATTACTTCACCAATTCCTCTCCCCAGTCGGTATTCCACGAGTTGGCAATCGTCCAATATTTCGTGCCATTTTCGACTCCCCAACCAATGATTTTCACAGCGTGTCCGCCCTGCTTTTTGCCGCCTGTGTTCTGGAATCAGAAAAGAAGAACTTACGTGGTCAAACTGAACACTACTAACACTACTTATTAGTGAGGTTGACTTAAATCAGATGTGATGCCATGGTCCCTTCGTCATCACACGCGACAATCAGAACTGAGGCCGGAGTCGGGGCCACTGCGACCCAGCTTGACCTACTGGCGCCAATACAACCCTTCCAGAGAAATAGGGATAAAAGTCCTCACCACGTAGACTCCATTCTTGTAGTGCACAAAGTCCTCGAAGACTGTGAACGACGCTTGGACTGGTCCCTTATTGTAGATTTCTGCTCGGATAGCCTCTTCATCACTCGGGACAGCATATGCCGAAGTTGCTGAAGGAGAACCCGATCATACTGATAAAAAAGCACATTGAAAAGCCTCTAGAGATTGAAAGTTAGGGTCCCTGCGCCAGCCTAAAGTCCCTCATCGATGTCCACTACGATCCCCCCCCCCCGAAACCTTCGCCGTACATGAAGAACAAGACAATAAACATTAATAAAGAATTATGGAATCAGTTCCACCCGCACCAAAAGTTTCATATCACCTCAAGTGTTAGAAATAAGTAGAGATAATCTGAAAGTGACACTGTGAAAGATACCGTAGATTTTGTCTTTACTGTAGCGCTTTCCGTATCCATACTCGCAGTACTTTTTGCAAATCCGGTGTTCGGTAGAGGTGGTCTCTAGGGCATTCGCCATAGTAGGTCTGATTTTCGTGGTGTCCACACGGATGAAAAGGGTATGGCTTACAAACGCTCTGGAAAGTATAGTCATTAGTCGTAGAGTACTGGCGCGCACTGAAGGGTTCATCATAAGACGCACGCGCTCGTATCGAATCACTAGTGAAACACTATCTTCTCTCCACACTTCTCAAGCCCCTTGGCCAGACTCGCCTGCGGCATCGCCACTTGAACGCAAACTGTACACCTAGCCCCCCTGCTCATCATGTTTGGGGCCAATGGAACCACAGCTGCGGTGGCATACCTTTTT